GCAGTTTGCCGACGGCGAGAAGAAATCGCGTTGCAAACTATTTGAAAAACTTGTTTATTCAAAGAAACTGATTCCCACTTTCTAAATAAAATTCCCTTATTTATTACTAATCCCACATTTCCCAATCCCACATTTTCCAATAAATTCTAGCAACAGCTCCTGCAGAAATTACCTCATGCCAAGTAGGACTTTCTCCTAATTCATTTTTTCTTAAAAATATAGAAACAATCTTATCTTTTAATTGAATTTTTCTCCAATCTTGTCCACCTCTTAAAATAATTCGACCAACTTCATTAACTTTATTAATTATTTCTTTTTGTTCTATCTTACTACAATAATTACAAGAATTTAAATTGCAAGGACGGCGAGAAAGTCCATCAGCATTTTGATGAGAACTCCCTTTTCTATACTGTATTTCAAAATCATACTGTTGGAGTCTCTCCAACCATCGAGCCAACTGTCCTTCTAATTCCTTAAAAGACATTAACCATCTTAACGAAATATGATCCGAACGAACAATGAAATTCCTTCCATATAAATAATGATGAAACGATTTAATCGAATCTACTACTGCGAGCAATTCTCTTCGTGTCACACAATAATTACTTTCTGATTTACTTAAAACTCTACTATAATAAGCTATCACCTTCTCAGAATTTCCTTGAATTTGAGATAAAACTGCTCCGATACCATGATTTGAAGCGTCAGTGTCTAAAATAAATTTTCCTTGCTCTTTGGGAAAAGCTAATATTGGAGAAGAAATTAAATTTTCTTTCAACTTCTCAAAAGATTCCTGACATTGACTTGTCCAAATAAATTTGGAATTATTTTCCGTCAAAGTATAAAGGGGCTTGGCAATTAAAGAAAAATTTTTAACAAATCTCCGATAATACGAACTAAATCCTAAAAAAAACTTCTAAGTTGTTTTCTTGTTTGAGGAACCGGTCACTCCTTTACTGCAATAATTTTCTCAGGATCTGTAGTAACACCTCTCTCAGAAATTATATGACCTAAATATTTCACAGATCTGCCTAAAAGACTACACTTCTTTGGATTTATACTTAATTTAGCTAACCTAAAACGTGAAAGTACAATTCTCAAATTTTTAATCATTCCCTCAAATGTTTTACTAAAAATAATTACATCGTCTAAATAAACCATACAAATTTTCGACAATAATTCCCGAAGAACTCGCTTCATTAAACGCTCAAAAGTCGCTGGCGCATTACATAACCCAAACGGCATAACAGTAAACTGCCAAAGTCCTCCTACAGAAAACGCCGTTTTTTATCTTCCGGACGAATTTTCACCTGCCAATATCCTCTTTTTAAATTTAAAGTCGAAAATCAAACATTCCCTGACAGCTGATCTAAAATGTCATCAATTCGAGAAATCGGATAAGAATCTTTTAATGTTACAGAATTCAATTTCCTATAGTCTACACAAAAAGGTAACGTCCCTTCTTTTTTTTAACTAAAACAACTGGAGAAGCCTACAGACTCTGCGACTCCTCAATTACTCCTTTCTCAAACATTTCCTTAATAATCCCATTTACCTCAGAACGAACATGAAAAGGGATTCGACGAGGAATCTGCTTTATTGGACGAGAATCTGTCAATTCAATCTTATGCTCCAATAAATTAGAACCTTCTGCAATAATTTCTTCCGAAAATACATCCTGAAATTCAGTTAAAAGCTTAGCAAATTCCTTTTTTTGTTCAAGATTTAAATTTTCTGAATCTCTATCAAATAACTCTTTCAAAAAGTTAGGAACTTGCACTTTTTCCCTAATGCGAGAACATAAAATTTCCTCTTGAACTATTCCCAAAATAGATTGTAAATTTTCTTCTAACCCTGTCATTGAAAGAAAATCTAACCCAAGAATGCATTCCTCAATATCAGCAATAAAAACCGGCTGTTATGTCCTGCGGACTCCGCATACTTTGAATTTGTTGTCAAGTAGGGCGGATTGCATTTTATATTATACGACCAAATGTTCATATTCCGCGACCCTCCGAGAACAGTGACGTCACACACACAGATTTCTCTTTTTTTTCTCTCTGCATTAATCACCGGAGTTTCCTCTATTTCCGTCGGAAAAGATCCGCTGAGTCATTTTAGCCATATATCTCCTCTCCAAATAACCTTAAATAACTTCCCGTTCGGAGCAATAATTTTCTTTGAAGACGGACCGACCAGACAATCTTTCATGCTGTTATATGATATTACTAGCCTTTGATCTTCGGAAACTCATGCTTTCCCATGTTATTTATAGATTTTTATCGCGCATAATCTCTGACTAACCCTAGCGGAACCTTGAAATCTTTTACTGCCATAGATACCCGAACCTTTATCATATTTATCTAAGAATCCCACTAAAACCCTACCTCCGAAAAGTTTGCAACAAAATCCTATACCCATATTTGGACATAAACTTTGGAGCCTGACGCAACTTCTCAAACCCCATCTCTCGACCAAGGTGACGTTTTTGATAAAATGAAAAGGCTATGCCACTTCTACTTCTCTTCCCGACCGACCCGCAGCCAGGACAGAGTCTTCTCTCCAACACCCCTTCAGGATCTCTTAATAACCAACCCTACTAGTGAGGCAGATCAGAGTTCTTCAGTTGTCAATTCTTCTGTGCAACGATTTCGTGCATCCTTGAGACATTGCGAGAGATCCTGCTGAGACCAGTTTCTAATTCTTGGCGCAACTTGGGTCTATCCTCACAGACACGTAGCAATTACACTTTTCATTGTCAACTAACATCATAGAACCAGCAGTAAGTTATTTATATTTTCTTTTGCCTGAGTGACCTCTGTCTTTTCATTTTCTTCTCTCTCTTTTCTTTTCGTTTCCTTTGTTTCCCTTTTTTTAGTCCCTTGACATTCCGCCTTAATTGTTAAATCAGGTGCCAGTGGCCAATCTTTTCGATCACAGTCGGACATAACGAACACGGAATTTTGCTCAGACCGCGATTATTTATACATATATGTATACGTACACATTATAAAAGCTTATAAATTTTATTTCATTATAAATATCCGTCTAATTACTAATAAAACAAGTTGTTTGTAATTGTAAGCCAATCACGTTTTCCAAATAATTATTCTCAACCAAAAAATTCTCCCTTCCCTGAACCGTCGCTCACGGTCCTATCCCAGGTAAAAGGATACAGTTCCTTGACCTAAATAAAGGACCACCGACGTACGCCCGCGCCAGATAAAGGGGTTATTCCGATCCTTGATCTGCACCGCAGACTTGCGAGTACGTCGGAGCTTGCGAAAGCAAGCGTCAAGTTGCGTTTCTCCTCCAGGACGTAACACGGCATTGTTAATATAAATTTTCCTATTTCAATCGTAACATTAGTTTTAAAATGTACAGGAACCTTTTCCCCTGTGGGATACAAAAGAAAATTTTTTACTTCAATCCTCCTTCTTGGAGGCTTTACAAATTTCTCACAAATTATAGTGACATCAGAACCCGTATCAATCCTGAAAATACAAGTTTCTCCGTTAACTTTACTATAATAACAAAAATTTTCTCTAATTCTACTTAACCTAAACTTATTCTCTATCGGGGTTTCATTTTCTTTTGCCGAATACTCCCCGTCCCATTCGGCAAAACCTAGTTTAATTGCTTGTTAACAAAAACAGGACATTGTGCTCTAAAATGTTCCTTACTTCCATAATTCTAACATTCCCTATTATTAAATTAAAATTCTTCCTTTTATTATTAAAATTCTTCTGCCAATTTTGTAAATTACCCCGTTCATTCCGTGAAAATTCCATTTCCCTTCTTCGAGCAAAATTTCCCGTTTTCTGAACATTTAAATTAAATTCTCTTTCACAAAATTGTTTACTTGAAAAATTTCCCTCTTCCGAAATCGTTTGAATAATTTTCGCACGCTCTATTGCTAATTTTAAAGAAACAATTTCCTCAAGCTGTAATATTTGTTTAACTAGGCCTTCTGATAATCCCAAAATGAATTGGGCACAAGCTATTTTGTCACGAACTTCATTTTTACATTCTGAATAAGCTAACTTGACTAATTTTTCTAATCCCCCCCCCCCATAAGACGCAAAATCTTCATTAATTTTAATTTTCCTATTAATAAATTGAGAATAAGAATGCTGAAAAGAATTACTTTCTCCAAAACGTAATTCTAACTTCGATTTCAACTCATTATAATCTAAATTTTGTTCTATCCCATCTAAAACTGAACGCGCCTTCCCTCTCAAATTTGTCGCAAAAACTAAAGCCTTTTCCCCCTCACTCCATACATTAGCTCGCGCAACTAATTCAAACTGAGAGACATATTCATAAAAAAACTCAGTACTGTCGTAAATATCGGGTTTTAAATTAAGAAATTTTTGACACTGACCTTGACAGTTTTCCCCTTGTCCTTACTGCTTCATCCTCCGATTTTGTCGCAACTCCTGGAGCTCCAGTCGCTCTCGTTCCCGCTCCTCACGTAGCTGACGCAACTCTCGCATCGCTGCTATCAACGTCGGAGCCTCTGTCTCTGCTTCCTGTCCGGCCGCAACCGCCTGACGGGCTTCTGCTGTTTGACTCCGCGTTGCCATCGGAGAATGTAACATTTCTCATAACACTTCTTTTCACTCGGATAATAAAAAAAAAATCGCATCAATGCTCCCGCACAACGTCGATCTTATCCCGGACGAGCCCCCAAACAATATTCTGAAAAGCTCTCAACGTAATATAAGAATACGTAATGAAAAATACAGAGTACTTGTACTTAAAAAATTGAAGATGAACTTCACATCATCTTCAACCATCGATTATCCAACGTTAAATTATTGTTACTATTTTATTTTCTCCTTAAAATCCCCATGCAATTTTTATTTGAAACATTTTACCGATCTCACTTTTCAAAATATTCGGCTGGATGAATTATAATGAGCCATATAAGATAAAAATATAAGAAATAACTCGTGTGCATAGATCATATCTAATATATTTTATTTTATACATTGCAGCCATTGGCTATAACGAAAATTTTGAAATAGATAGCCATCAAGAACAAAACACAGCGCCAGGTAAATATAAGACTTCACTTTTATGACGGTTTTTAATTTTTAGTTTTTAGTTAGTCGATTTCTGTTTAATGAATTTATTATTAAGATTTTATTACGGGATAAATAAGAATGAAAATTAATCTTTTAATTTAATTAATTATTACGTATATTTCTTTGTAGTTGTGAAATTGACGCCTATGTCACAGCAGTATTCTTTAGCAGCTGATGCGAATGGATCGTGTAATCAAACGAAAGTGTTATTAATTTTAAGTATGCTGTACATTATATATTACGATTATAACAATTGACAATAAATTCAAGTGATGTATTCAATGTGAATAAGAATATAAAATAGGTTGTTGTAATATATATATCAAATAATTAGCGTCATAATTATTGCTATCAACTATAACGTCAATATGTTGTGATTAAATCGTACAAGGAATTATCTTTATTAATTATTTTCATATAGTTGGTTCATACCATCATATTTTCAGCGATAACATTGAGAGATTTTATTGATTTATTATTTACCAAACACAGCCAATCAAAATCGAATAATTATTGGGGACTTGAATAAGTTCTCGCTGTTTCCCGACAGATGGTATTATCTTAGCCTTTTTGCATCGGGCAATACTACAGCCAACTTCATCGTGAAGTTCCACCATTAGGTTCGAAGTGAGATTGAGGACCCCTGGCTTGCGAGCCAGGGGCGCCTCTCCCGTCCTCCCCCAACCATTTCCTCCACACAAGTCTCGCGATGCGTGGCGCCCAGGAGGGGCCCTAAAGGGACATAGGGTACGGCGGGCGGTAGAAGCAGTGCAGCAACTATTCCTTCGCCCGCCACATAGCACCCTCCGGACGGTGTCCCGCAGGGGTTTTAGTGGGTGCGAGTCCCACATAACCCCCGGACCCTCTCCCCAGGGTCTGGGGGTACCCATAAGGGGTTTCCCCTGCGAGATAGAAAAAAAGGTTCGAAGTGACAGTATATGTTATTCCCCCGAAGCGTAAACAACATATTTTTTCATAGCGTTAAACGTCGAATTTCGTGCCAAAAAAAGAGTATTTACGGGGAATTTTACTGCATTACTTTTTTCAAAAAAAATTTGCAGCTGAAGCACATAGAATTCTTGTGGAGACTTACGGCGACCATGCTCTATCGGATACAACATGCAGAGATTGGTTTAGACGCTTTAAAAATAATGATTTTGATGTTGAAGATAAAGGACGCTTTGGCGCACCGAAAATGTTTGAAGACGAAGAATTGGAAGCATTACTCAATGACGACCTATGTCAGACGCAAAATGAACTTGCAGAATCATTAGGAATTGATCACATAACAGTTGCCAAATGTTTAAAATCATTAGGAATGATTCAAAAGCAAGGAAATTCGGTGCCGTACGAATTGAAGCCGAGAGATGTCGAACGGCGTTTTTTCATGTGTGAACAGCTGCTCCAACGGCAGAAAAGGAAAGGTTTTTTTTGCGTCCTGTTGTGACTATGTGACTACGTATCGTGGCAATGAAAAGTGGATACACTACGATAATCCGAAGCGTAGAAAATCATAGGGTAAGCCCGGCCAGGCATCAACATCGACGGCAAAGTCAAATATCCATGGTTCCAAGCTCATGCTCTATATTTGATGGAATCAGCTGGGTGTAGTATATTATGAGCTCCTCAAACCCAACGAAACCATCACGGATTGCTATCGACTACAATTGATGCGTTTGAGCCGAGCATTGAAGGAAAAACGGTCGCAATACGAGGAGAGACACGACAAAGTAATTTTGCAGCATGACAACGCTCGGCCACATGTTGCAAAACCGGCCAAAACCTACTTGGAAACGCTCAAATGGGAAATCCTACCTCACCCACCGTTTTCACCGAACATTGCTCCTTCCGATTACCACTTGTTCCGATCGATGACTCATGGCTTGGCTGAGCAGCACTTTCATTCTTATGAAGATGCCAAAAAATGAGTCGATTTGTGGATAACCTCAAAAGATGAGTCGTTCTTTCGACATGGTATTCGTATGCTGCCAGAAAGATAGGAGAAAGTAATGGCTAGCGATGGACAATACTTTCAATGACATGTTCTTTACTAATTTTTTTAAATAAAGCATTCATTTTCACGAAAAAACAGCGAGAACTTATTCAAGTCCCCAATATTTGTGTCGCGATTAACCATGCATTAGTATTTTCTAACGCTATTATGATGGGATATGTTGTACGTAAGTATTTGATTGGACATGCTGTTGTGGTTTGAGGTACAGTGAACATTTGTATTTCGCACGGTATTTCCGTGTCTATACCGTAAGTAGGTTTGTTTTGTATACAAGTGTAGTGATTGTTTAATTTTACACACCCGTCTAGCTCACCTTTATCTAACACTAGGTAAGTGTGATTTTCTACGTTAATTGTTACTTTAGTGTGCGGAACCTTTGTTACCGTGAATATATCTTCGTGGAGATGAGTCGGTACGGGAATGATATGAGCGTTATTTGGAACGGTAATATTCCGTTACTTATAGTATTTAGGTAAGTAATTACATCATTTTGATCACGCATTATATCATTTAGTATTGTGTCAATTACCATAAAATGTTCGTCTATTATGTCCCTATTATAATATCTTCCCTCTTTTTCTTGTATTTGAGTAATGCTGTTCCACATTAGTTTCGTATCGTATTCTACCGCGTCTTCTGTTTCCTTAAGGTGCCCTATCGTTTTATTTAAAATGCTAAGCTGATTTGCAAGAACGTGTTCTAATACTTCTTGGTTATTGCTTAAAAGGTTTACTGTTCTTTTATTATTTTTTCGTCTTCTGCGTCCATTATTCCGAATAAACTTTTAGCTATGGATCCTATGCCATTAACTAATCCTTATCGCTTATTCGTTTTTCCTAGGTATACCTAGTTTATTAATTGTGCGTTGCTTCTTATGCTTTGTACCTGTTTTTCAGCTAATTCTCCTAGATTTCTGCACATGTTGCGTGTAAGCTGATTTATATCATTAGGTTTTCGCAACGTTTTTTTACTATATCCACGTATATCTTTTGTCTCTCATGTAAATTATACTTTCTTCTTTGGTGTATATATAAAAATTGTGTGCGTGTGCAGGATTTAGTGGGAATCGTCGTGGAGGTCAACGCGTGGACCGAGCGGGTCACAATTTTTTGGGTCCCTGATCTGGAGGTCCGACCTTATACGCCGAGGCTGGCGGTATTGAGGTGGCCCCGAAACATTCCTATTTTTGTACCGAGCACCCCGTCAGGTTCGTCGCTGCCTTCGTCCTTAGATTGGTGAGTTTACCTAGTTTTCCATAAATAGTTTAAGTTTATTTGCGTGCATACATAAGGTAATTCGCCCTTTTTTAATTATGTAGTTGACGTCGGAATTTTTCGCTAAGACTCGTACGGTCTGAGCCACATCGCGTCTAACTTTTTGGAGCGTCCCCGTCGCACTGTTTCGTCGTGGAGTAGCACTTTGTCTCCCACATGGAATTCGTTTGGTTTCGTTTTTCTATTGTAATATCTTTTTATTTTTTTCTTTTCTTCCTTGAGGTTTTCTTTGACCATCTTATTTGTTGCTCTTATGCGTTCTTTTATTTCTTGCGCGTAATCGTCGATTGTGTAGATAGGTTTAGGCGGTGATAGGAATGTAGACGGTCTTCGCGCAGTGTCCGTAGACTAATTCGTAGGGGGTGAATCCTGTACTTATGTGTGGCGTCGTGTTATACGTAAACATCGCGTAGGGACCTCATTCGTCCCAATTCATTTGATCCGCGTTTATATAATGTCGTAAATATTCGGCTAACGTTCGATGCGATCATTCGAGCGCGCCATTGCTTTGCGGGTGATAGGCCGTCGTTTGTACCTTCCCTATCCCTAGGAGTTTGCATGTATTTTTGAACATGCTGCTCAAAAAATTCGTACCCTGATCGGTGAGGATCTTTGTAGGTATTCCGTACTCTAACACTATTTTTGTCACGGATTCTTTCGCGACAGTAGGCGCTTCTTGATTCGGTATCGCCATTGCTTTACTAAATTTCGTCAAGCTATCCTGAAAACTTAGTAGGTATTTATTTCCGTTATTGGTTATCGTTAGAGGTCCCACTATATCTAACGCACATTTTTCAAATGGCTGATCAGGAGTATCAGTCAATACTAGAGGTGATTTTGCTCGCGGTGTCAATTTATTCCTTTGACAATGTTCGCACTTACTTATGTAAATTTTTATATCGCGGGTCATTCCCGGCCAATTATGCGCTAATCGTATTCGCTTTAGCGTTCTATCGATTCCTTGATATCCTCCTAATGGTGCATTATGATATTCGTACAGTATTTGTCGTTTTTCTTCTTTAGAGTAATCTCGAGGATTCTCGGTGTTTTCTTCAATCTTGTCCACGTCTACTAGATTGGCTCTTATTATTCTGCTTAGCGCGTCGGCGTTCATATTCGCCTTACCTGCTTTATAAATTATCTCATATTCGTATTCTTCTAACTTTAATCGCCATCTTATCAGGCGAGATCCTGGGTCGGTTACATTAAATAGCCATACCAATGGTTTATGGTCGGTGACAATTTTAAATTTTGTCCCATATACGTACGATCGAAAATGTTTGATTGCCCATACGATTGTGAGCAGTTCCTTTTCCGTCGTGTTATAGTTTTGCTCGGCGCGCGATAAAAAATTCTGCTAGCTACCGGCTGATTTTGACCTATTTCTCCCTGCGATAATATAGCTCCGATGGCGTAATCTGACTCGTCGGTAAATAATGATAAATTTTTCGCAAAATTGGGAAACGTTAGGACTGGTGCGGTAGTTAATTTAGTTTCTAATGTATCGAATGCAGTTTGCTGTTCTTGAGTCCATAAAAACGGCTCCTTTTTCTTTGTTAGCTTAGTTAAAAGCTTGGCAATTTGTGAGAAATCTTCTATAAATCTTCGATAGTAATCTGCCAATCCGATGAAGGATTGTATATCCCTTACCTTTTTTGCAGTAGGGAAGTTTATGACGGCTTCTAGCTTCGTAGGGTCTGGCAGGATTCTCTTTTCTGAAATTACGTGGCCTAAATATACCACTTCTTTGCGTAAGAATTCGCATTTATCTGGCTGCAATTTTAATTGATTTCCGCGCAGACAGCTCAATACGTGTTTGAGTCGCTTGTTATGCTCCTCTAGACTCGCGGCATATAGTACTATATCGTCGAGGTATACTAGACACTCGATTCCTTGAAGTCCTGTTAGTACCGTGTTCATGAGTCTTTAGAACGTCGTTGGCGCGTTTTTAAGTCCGAAGGGCATCCGATTAAATTCAAAGTGTCCGTACGGGGTTGAG